TACCATCAGAAGAGGCTACTAATTTTGCATTTAATTTCCTGAAATGTCAGTAATGAATACTGATAAAGTACAATCCAGATGCACAAATTGATCTTTACTATGTGCAGAACATTATTTTTTACAGCAATATATCACTTCTGTTTAGGAAATTGACCAGAATCATCCATGCATAATCCAATGTTTATTTCATTGCCCACAAATGAATTCTTGGTATTTGCATTTAGGTTCTGGCACTCTCTGGCTGTTAGCTGCCATCAGAATGTTCTGTTTTTCTTTTTTTTAAAGTTCCATTTAATTTATTCAACATGACACTCTGGCAGGCAGATTCCCAAAAAAGAACTCTGGCAAATGAAATCCTTATTTTCTGAGGAAAATTATTTTGCCCTCTAAATGGTCAGCGAAGCCAGGGTTCATTAAATCCAATACATTATTTATGTAATATCAACTAGTCTCCTCTTGTCTTTTCATTTTATTGGTGAGATACTGTCTCAATGACAATAGAGAGAGACCATAGGGTGGAGGGAACTGACACGGGCAATGTTTGGTTGTACTAGTGTTCTGGGATTTGCACCAGCATTTATTAAGAAGACAGCAAACAGGGAAATGAAGAAAGAAGTTTATACCTGTGAATCTCAAGAACAAGGAGGCGAGGTATGCTAGACAGCTACACAAGACGCACCCAGGTCAATCAGGAGGTAGAAAGAGGGAGAAGGAAGAGCATGACCCAGAGCATCTGTTGGCAGTTTTGTGGGAAGGAATGGGTGAGGCAGGGCAGGTGTGCTGAGAAATCTTAGGATCGCATAGCTTGAGTAATTTCAGCAGACTCTGGACTATAGGACTATCTCTAGTTCTTGGGTACCTGGCCCTGAGTGAGGAAGGGCAAGGGAACAGAGATACTGACTTAGTGCATGAGAGTTTGATAAGAGATGCTTAGATTCTGGGTAGGTTTTCTTGTGTATCAAAGTGGGGCTCTCAAGGAAATGACTTTGTAACTCTAGGAATAGCCAGCCCTGTGAGGGGCAATCTCTCCAGGATTGAAGACCCAAGTGCTAGAGCCTCAAGAATACAGAAAATATAGTCAATGCTGCAGCTCAGTCTTTGCTATCAGGCTAAATCAATCAATGAATCACAATTCATCTAGACCTTTAAAAAATTAGTGTAGCTACTGGAAATTAACCATGCAGATCAGAATCCATATTGTTGCCTTTGACAGCTTGTTGACAGTTTAATTCCTCCAAAACAAATTCTCAAAAGGTGAAAAGAAAACAGAGTGGCTCACACAAGTGACTATTAGTAAGATTTTTAAAGAAAAAAAGAGGAGAAATATATAGTACTCATTTAATAGTGTTTCACAGCAGTTAGGCACAAGAGTCCTCATTGAGATGAATCTGGAAGATAACTGTCTGATAAAAAAGGGAATAAAAAGATTGTTTTGGTTTTCCCAGGGGAAAGTGCATGGGGTTCTGGTGCAGACATTTTAAAAAAGTTGCCTCTGATACTTTAAGGCACTATCTAGTATAAGGACACTTAAGACCTATCTTCCCATCCAGATAACTTAAAAGAATGGCACTACAGGTGACAAAGACAACCATATTGTCATGGGGTCAACAAAGGGTATGCAACAAACACAGCCTCTGCTTTTGGAAGGGAGCCATCTCATACCCTGGGCCCTACCTTTCCTCACCCTCTACATCAAATGGTTGTGCCAGGGATCTTGTGGGTTACATCTAGTCATAACTTTATAGTTTGCACACACACACACACACACAGTGTGTGTACGCCTGCAGAGCTATTGCCTTTTTAAAATAAAATGTTTACATTGAAAGAGATGTTTTTGAATGAGTGGTGAGTTAGGTTTGATTTTGGAAGTTGATCTATTCAGCTTACTCACTGTGCAGATCATATATTTTGTAGTGCAAATGACTTTTCTTTTTTTTTTTTTTTTGTGGTACTGGGGCTTGAACTCAGGACCTATACCTTGCACCTCTACCTTGAGATAGGGTCTCATGGAACTATTTGCCCTGGGCTAGCTTCGAACCATGATCCTCCTGATCTCTGCTTCCTGAATAGGTAAGATTACAGGCGTGAGGCCCAGCAACACTGAGTGAGTTTTATTCTTAATACTTCTGTTTTCAAAGGATATACTAGAAACTTAGAAGTGTAAATGGCCAACTATGTGGTTTAACCCATTCAGTTTGTAACTTCGTGCTTCATTAACCAAGTGTGTGTGCTCTACTAATGTTCTCCTTTGGAGAATATAAATTGTATCCCTCACAGGGCAAGGAAGCTCTGACAAACATGGTTTCTAAAATAACCTGCTCATACCTTAGAGGTATCATCGGCTTCGTCTTCATGCACTGAACTGGACGGTGAGGGAGTTGCAGACTTGCTCCCAGGTGGAGAGGGTGAGTTGTGAGGAACACTGCTTCCTCCCATGTTCAAACCAAGTTGAGCGCTCAGCTGAGACTGGTTGATGGTGGTCAGTTGACCGTGCTGCATCATGCCAGCCTGCTGCCTGATGTCTGCAGGCTGACCCCTTGGCCTCATGGCTCCCATCTGTGGATGGGAGCTGTACTGAGCTCCTTCTGGGCTCCGTATATCTTGCATCTACAATAAATAAGCAAACAAATAAACAAACATATTTCAGAACCATGTTTGTGGCAATTTTTTCTTAATTCTGTAAATTGCATGATGTTTGCTGAGCAATACATACGTTAATTTTCTCTGGGGTATAATAATCTTTAACAATCTCTATCACCTTAAAGAATACCAAAAGATGGGGCTGGGGTGGTGCTTAGTGATAGTGCACTTGCCTACACATACACGTCCTGGGTTCTAGCCTCATCACACACACACACACACACACACACACACCCAAAAAGAATAGAATAGAATTTGAAAGTAAGTTCAAGTTCACATTTCATTACTCAAGATTGATTCAGCATAATTAAAATCTTTCCGTACTAATGATATGTAGATATACGTTATATATATATTATTCAATGATATATTTATATGTTATGGTGCTTCCTGTCTGTCCAAATTATACAATTAGTGATTACATCATCACAGTCATTCATTAAACCCTATTTTTTTTAAGTTTAAGAAACGTTTTGGGAGTTAACAAGTGAACTATTGTTCTAAAATAATTATTTATAGTTTTCTAACTTCCAGACTCAGAGTGCTTACAGACTGATATTAACCAATTGATTAATTGACTATTGAAACGATTTGACTGCATACTCAGATTTGAAAGTAAAGCTCTAGAATTGCAAGGTCACCATATATTAATCCGTTATGATATCTGGGTCACTGCTTTTTAGCCTTAATGAGACTCACTCTTGTAATTCAAGTAATGAATTTCGTCTCAGCAAGGATTAGAATTAAAAGCATTGGAGGATGAAGCGCTTAACGTTATCTGGAGGTCAAATGTGTTGTGTAAGAGGAGTATGGTGGATTTCACTTAACATTTCTCCAGCATTTTCAAACTTAAAATAATGGGGATTATTTTGTGGCGCTTATAGATGCAGTTTGGTTTTTTCACTCTGAGTAGGTAGGTGGAGAGTGCTCAAGACAAGAGAGGAAAATCAAGAAAATTATGGAAAATGTGCTACAGTGAGGAACATATGGTTAAATTTACATGTTGGAACTGAACAATCAAATTAATAATGTTATGTTAGTCATTCATTAAAAAAAAAAAAACCCTGAATAGAGGAAGATGCTTAGCAATTACCTGTCTGAAATGTTATTGTAACCTGGAAATGCTGTGAAGGTGAATTAGAGAAGCTGGTCCATAAGCTTTGTTTTGTCCCTTTTTATGGTGGTAAGATTGTTTTCTACCAAGGCTCTGTAGTTATTTCACCAAGCTGGTTAGACCCATCTGAAACTGGAATTGTGGCTGATGAGGGTATTGTGCCTGCTCTGTATTCATTCTCTTTAACAGGTCTATGGCCTCCATGTTGAGGCCTCTTATTAACCAATTTCTCCAAGTTGGACCTTTCCCTGCTCTTGCTCCTGCTCCATCTTCAGACTTGGTCCCAGGGTCCTAGACTTCTGGCTCTTTTTGGCAAAGTACATGCTGGCTTCATGAGTTGTGGTGCTGCGCTCCTAGTTCAAACTGACACTGTTTCAACTACCTTCAATAGGAAGTCCCTCATTAAGTAGTTACTATGACTTACTGATACATGTCAGAGCCACAAGGACTTTTTAGTGACAGTCTATAGGACAGGAAACTTGGGATGCATAATACAAGATCACTGGATGTTTGTTGAACAAATGTATAAGTAAATATAAATGAATAAATAAGAAAATAAAGCCAAGAGAAGATAAATAATTTGCCCCAAACCAGAATTTGAGTTAAAATCTGTATCTCCCAATTCTCCTTTTTGATACTTCCCACTGAATTAAGCAGCTGATTCAACATTTTATATATCCTGTAGAGGGTTACAGTCAATTAGAGATAATTGAAAACTCTTTTCAAATATTGCCTACCCAAATCAGTGTTGTTTTTCTCTAGTCCATTCATATTGCTTCCACTGACAATTACTAAGAATTTTTAATTTTTTCTTAGATGTTCATGTAACTTCTATTATCTGAACTTCCTATGACATAGATTTCACAGATTCCCTGCAAATTCTGTCATTTTCAGAGGATATCATAAAAATCAGGACAGACTTTCAAAAATACACAGAAGAGTTTATCATGGTGGTGAATACCTGTAATCCCACTTATTACTCAGGAGGCAGAAATAGAATTGTGGTCCAAGGTCAACCCAAGACTGGGAGAGTGGCCCAAATGGCAGAGCAAGGTCCTGAGTTATATTGTTTTGGGTTTTTCCAGCTTATTCACAAATGTTCTAAAGTTGTACTTTTTACCTGGACTCTTAGCATGTAGAACAGCTTTAATTATGGTCACAGAATAAGGGATGACCATAGATGAAAATAACCTATACACCATAGACCCCCTCACAATCTTACACCAAACAAAGCACTATCTGACCTTCAAATTTTTATATTTATAGAATTTAGAGCTCTGTAAATTAAAAGTATATACCAGAAAATCATACTTTAATAACTAAATCGTCTTTCTCAAAATTTAACTACTTGATATGTTTATTTCTCCCTCACAGAAATCTCAGATTACAAATCATGTATAGTTTGTTCCACAACTGTTTTGAGCCCATGTTGCCTTATCCTTTAAGAAGTCTTGTAGTTTTAATGTGATATTATGGTAAATGATTTCTAAATCTATATTTATGTAGAGCTCTAAGATTTATGACAACTAAAAGTGTTTCTTCCAGAGGTTTAAAGCAATCTCATTTTATAGCACCTATTTCTTGCAGTTTTGCAACCTTTTAAGTTATTTTTCCATATTAATTTGTGTTATAGGTAGATCTCTGAGGAATAAAGTCTGCACTCCTGCCCTTGTACTAGAGAGAGGGCGATGAGCCTGACCATGGAGAAGCAAAGGATCAGTTTGAATAAGGACGGCAAGGTGTTCAAGAGGAGACCACAGACTCATCACTAGTTCAAAATCTCATGTCACCAATGATGATAGATAGATAAAGTGGACAGCAGCTTTGACACTGCATCAAAGGACAATTTTCCCATGTGGAGGATGGTAAGCACAAACAAGAGACAATTTCTAGCTTGTCGGCTCAAGGTGTGCTATAAACAGTTGGGTCTTACCAGCATGGTGGTTTCTCATTAGGAGTACTTCCATGTTACCTTACTTTCATTGGAGCCAGTTAAGTATTAATTATGCCTATTGTTTAATATGGGGAAAAACTGGAAGGAATCTGAGTATTGAAAATAAGACAATTAGCCCAAGCAGGCAAGCAAATGTTTTGGTAGCTGGTTTCTTTCCAGAAAGGGATTGAATGACTATAGCTCCTTAATGTCAAATACAAAATTTGAATGGGCAAGATATTATTTCTTATTATTCCCAGTATTTTAAATTTATTGTGAATAATTCGCTTGTCACATTAATAGGAACAGTTGCTCCTTCTTTTTTTTTTTTTTTCTGTTTTTAATTGTTTCAGTAAATGCATTTAGTAAAAAACTTTAAAATAGGAAGGGGACTAAAGTAGAAAGGAGAATGGAAGGGATGAAACAATTATGGTTATAATATGTATATACATGGAAATGTCATAATGAAACTCCTTACATAAAAATGTCTTTTTTCAATAAAAAAGGTAAAGCAGATCCTGTCTGGGGGTTGGTACCAGTGGAAGGGGGGAGAATATAAGGAAAGGGTGAAGGAGGGCGAATATGGTGGAACTATTTTGTTCTCATGTATGAAAATGGAAAAATGAGACCTGTTGAAACTAACTATTCTAAGAATGGGAGGGGATAAAGAATGATGGAGGGGTGAATTTATTTATTTTTTTTTCATTTTTCTTTTATTATTCATATGTGCATACAAGGCTTGGTTTATTTTTCCCCCCTGCCCCCACCCCCTCCCTTACCACCCACTCCACCCCCTCCCGCTCCCCCCCTCAATACCCAGCAGAAACTATTTTGCCCTTATCTCTAATTTTGTTGTAGAGAGAGTATAAGCAATAATAGGAAGGGACAAGGTTTTTGCTGATTGAGATAAGGATAGCTATACAGGGCATTGACTCACATTGATTTCCTGTGCGTGGGTGTTACCTTCTAGGTTAATTCTTTTTGATCTAACCTTTTCTCTAGTTGCTCCTTCTGATTCTTCTCAGATCCTTCCTGACTTCTCTTCTTTTTACAACTTCCCACTCCTAACTGATTCTCTAATATTCTGTTTTGAGTTACCTTCCTGTCACCAGGTTAAGACTCACCATGGATTTATTAATGGAAAATGCTCTCAAAGAAAATGTAAAGTTCTGATCCTAACTCCAGGCCTAATTCTGCAACTTCTTGCTAGCGCCCTTTCTACCTGGGCATTACTCTTGCTAGAAAGGTAAACAGAGTTTTTGTCAAACCTATTTTCTTCTACATGACCAATTTCTGTTAATGACACTTTCATCTTCCTTGTCACTTTTCACTCAAAAATTCCATTTAATAGTATTTTTGACTCTTTCCCTTTTTTAACCAAATTCTTCTGAGTTCTGTTGTGTCTACTCTAAAACATATTTCTTTCCCACCTGTCCCTCCTTTTCACACCCACTCACCTATTTTAGTCCTTCACTACCTTTTTACTTCCAGTAGTTGTTTATGGCCTACCACAGTTGAATTCAAACTCTTCAGCATGATATCAAAGGTTCCAAACAACCTTATTCCTTATAGTTTTCCTTTGTGTATACATGCTATTTTTCAGCCAAACCTTATTAATTGCTATTCTTTGTGTGTGTGTATGTGTCTCTCTCTTGACAATGTATCTTTTTAATCCTGCTCTGTCATCACTTAATAACTATTTTCTGAGCATTTGCTGCCTGAAATGCATAAAAAGAGAAAAAAAAAACCCATACTTTGCTTAATGATTTGTGGTTTGCCCAGTAATTGTACCTATTGAGTCTTATAATTCCCCTTTGATGTAGCCATGTAGTTGGCGCAGTTTTCCACAAGTCTGTTGAGAAGGGGAAAGGTTAAATGACCTCATATATCTCTAGAACAAAGACTGAAGTAAAAATGAAA